AAGATGACCAACAAACAACAAGACTATCAATAAACAAGAAGACTACCAACAAACAGCACGACTACCGACAAACAACAAGATGACCAACAAACAACAAGATGACGAACAAACAACATGACTACCAACAAACAACAAGACTACCAAAAAACAACAAGACCACCAACAAACAACACGACTACAAACAAACAGCACGACTACCAACAAACAATAAGACTACCAACAAACAACAAGACTACCAACAAACAACAAGAATACCAACAAACAACAAGATAACCAATAAACAACAAGACTACGATCAAACAAGAAGACTACCAACAAACAAAACGACTACCAACAAACAACAAGACTACCAACAAACAACAAGACTACAAAATAACAACAAGACTGCCAAATAACAACACGACTGCCAACAAACAACACGACTACCAACAAACAACAATACTACCAACAAACAACACGACTGCCAACAAACAACAAGACTACCAACAAACAACAAGATTACAAAAAAACAACACGACTGCCAACAAACAACACGACTTCCAACAAACAACACGACTGCCAACAAACAACAAGACTACTAAATAACAACACGACTACCAACAAACAACAAGACTACCAACAAACAACAAGACTACCAAAAAACAACACGACTACCAACAAACAACAAAACTGCCAACAAACAACAAGACTACCAACAAACAACAAAACAACCAACAAACAACAAGACTACCAACAAACAACAAGACTACCAAAAAACAACACGACTGCCAACAAACAACACGACTACCAACAAACAACAAGACTGCCAACAAACAACAAGACTACTAAATAACAACACGACTACCAACAAACAACAAGACTACCAACAAACAACAAGACTACCAAAAAACAACACGACTGCCAACAAACAACACGACTGCCAACAAACAACACGACTGCCAACAAACAACAAGACTGCCAACAAACAACACGAATGCCAACAAACAACACGACTATTAACAAACAACAAGACTACCAAAAAACAACAAGACTACTAAAAAACAACACGACTGCCAACAAACAACAAGACTGCCAACAAACAACAAGACTACCAACAAACAACAAGACTACTAAATAACAACACGACTACCAACAAACAACACGACTGCCAACAAACAACACGACTGCCAACAAACAACACGACTGCCAACAAACAACAAGACTACCAACAAACAACAAGACTACCAACAAACAACAAGACTACCAACAAACAACACGACTGCCAACAAACAACACGACTACCAACAAACAACACGACTACCAACAAACAACAAGACTACCAAAAAACAACAAGACTACTGTTACGCACTGACTTGTATTGGGAGAAATTAATCTCCTATTTTAATTTTAATTGGCTCGTTGTAAACAGTGCCTAACAAAGGACGATACCATATAATCAACAATATTAAAGATACGATCCAAAACAGTTTCTAGTCACAATTTAATTAAGATTTATTATGTCTTAAGATAATTACAAAATAAAATAAAATAAAATTACAATCTTCAACTTACAGTATGGTAGATCTCGTACCGGTACACAGTTAATACAATTAGAAATAATGATGCCAATAAATAATGCGAAATAAACTCGTCGTGCCTGTCAATCCCTTATATAGGTGGGTCTACCGACGCCTAAGCCCTGCCTTCTACAAGCTACATGACATTTCGAGAAAAATCCCAATCATTCTACCAAATACTATTTGGAACAGATTAATTATTTTTATTCGTTGGTGGCGTAAACAAGAATACATCAAAGACCTAAGCCACACCCCTTTGTGAACACAGCGTCTCATGCGGGGTCAATCAGAGGGCACGCACGAGAAATATTATGTAAACAAGCTCCCTATAACACTACCAACAAACAACACGACTGCCAACAAACAACAAGACTACCAACAAACAACTCGACTGCCAACAAACAACACGACTATTAACAAACAACAAGACTACCAAATAACAACACGACTACCAACAAACAACACGACTACCAAAAAGCAGCACCTCAACCAACCTACTCTGCTATTCTTCTCTTGTTCCAGAGAGCTTCAGACCTGCTGTCCTACTTCAACCAACAAAGACCAAATGGAAATCAGACAGATTTTACTGTGATCATTGGTGGTCGGCGCTTCCTTGCACATAAAGCTGTACTTGGCTCGGCCTCGGAGTACTTTAACTCATTATTCCAGGTATCGGTATGAGTAGCCGCGTTGTGGTACAACGAGAGAGTGGGTGACTTGGACCTTTATGTCGAGATGTATTTACACTTTGCCAACTCATGCAGTTACAAAAGTCTAGAAATATACGAAGAAAAAGAAGACACCATTGTCCAGAGTATTTAAAACTAAAATTAAAAAAGAGAATTGAATTAAAAAGAGATGTTTTACTCATATGAAAAGTTTCTCAGAGTTCTGTACGTGTGTGCAGTGGTTTAGATAGGGTCAGTGCCCCCCCCCCCTCCCAGGTGGAACAAAATTTTTTCCGCCCCTGCCACAAAATAATACTGCGGTTAGCCGAAGATGCAACCCATTCAATATAAAGAACATGCGTGGCACCGGGCTGGACCTCCCCAATTAGCCCCCCCCCCCCACCCCCACACACCTCTCCCCAAACTTTGGCTTGGGAGCTTTCGGTGACCTATATATTATCCCCTACAACATCCACACTTGCGATTTAAAAAAAAAATATTTCCTTCCGGGGGATTTAGCGGTAATGCCCTGAAGAGCGTTATTTCAACTTTCGTTGTTTCCAGGTTTTACTCTTTGTGGTGTTCTCGGGGAAAAGGGTGAGTGGCGGCAAACTCAAACTCCTCCACGGGTGGCACAATGTCTTGCTACGCCACTCGACCACCATCTCCAATCCCACTTTCTGACCCCGCTGTCCAAGAGTCACTATATTTACTAATATAAAGCTACCTCCCCGTGGGGCGCATTGCCACACGTTAGGGGACACTTGTTTATGGTGTTCTGGCGTCATTGAATAGTCTTTCTCTTCTTGCCATAATCATTTAGAAATATTTTAAGGGGTGGTGGTGGGGGGGGAGTAAAGAACTAATTGTATGTAGGATTTGCAATGTAGGATTTGCGGGGGGGGGGGCAGTTATCCAAAAAGTTACAGGTGTAGTAACGAGGGAGAGGGGGGGCGGTTATCCAAAAAGTTACAGGTGTAGTAACGGGGGAGAGGGGAGCGGGCTCATAATTTTTTGTGTGGATAAATTCAAAATGCAAGATTGCATTTTAGAACATACATGAATTTTGATTGACATCATACTACGCTTAATCGGCGTACCGTAAATATATATGTATATATTTAGAACGCGTCCAAAAAGTTTTCCCTCACACACACACACAAACATACTGCTCTGAGTCACTGCTCACGTCTGCTCACATGTCGAACGCAAATTTAAAAAAAAACCCACATAGACAACCTAGGGATAATTTCCTTTTCCAAACATTTCCAAGTATTACCAGCATCAAAAATATTGTTTTTATTTTCAGAAAGGTCTAGTCTATACATTTTGAAGTTTTTTTTAAAACAAACTGGTCATTTTTATAAATCGACTAAGAATGGCACTATTATGTTAAGATGACATACGATATTTACAAATGACATCATAAATTTATTCATGTGTGGAAAATCGTATAAATATAAAGCATAAATTTCCTAATATTGAGTTGATTTAAATGTTTACTTGGAATCTCATAATACTATACCTTTATTCAGACACATTACAAATTACCTCTTCGATCTACTTAAAACACATTTATTTTACCAAAGCCACACAATTTATTTTAGTTTTGACGATTCAAACTATTTTTTTTAATTCGAGAGCTAGAACCCTAAAAAAAAAAACTTTTTGCTTCTTTAAAAAAAAAATAAATTATGTCTACTGGATTATCATCATGAAAAATTGAAATTATAAAAAGAAATTGCATGGAAACAAATAGGTGGGACAGACCTGTGGGTTTTATTATTGTGATATTAAAAAGAGTGGTGGGGGGGGGGTGAGTGGTCTAAACTGAGCAAAGAGTCCAGAAAGCAATCCCCACCAAAGCCCAGCCAAGTAAAAACATTACTAGCACCCCGGGTGGATGGGACTCGTTAATCTATGATGGCAACTCATCTAAGAGAAGGCAGACTCTAAATTCTAACCCGGAGATGGAGTCCCGTAGACGGATAACATTGGTACAGTGAAATATTGCGACAACTCCTGCGACGACCTTTGTGCCAAGCTGTATCATCCACTTGATGTTCCCTTGGGTTATCGAGCGGCGCGGAGAGAGGCGATTTGCTGTCGGGAGCCAGCTTATAATTCTATAAGAATAATCCCAGGCCTTGTCCTTGTGGATTTTCGTCCTGGGAAATCCACACCATCGTCACACTGTGGCGGACGGATGCCATGCAAAAAAAGGAGAACTTAGTATATTTATTTCTAAAAAGTTCGTCACTGGTTCCACTAATGGGTCAACGAAGCCGTACAGGTTGATATTCATTTTTAAAATGTTCCAAAAATGACAATTTAGTCGTTCTTTAAAAAAAAAAGGGGGAAATATGTTTTCTGTTGTTGTACTCATTTTAATCCCGGGGGGTTGGGGGGGGGGGAAGAACCGTTTAACTTCTGGCATTAATTGTAATAGTAAATAATAATGTGCAGTGGCGTAGCCAGGCCAAGTGTTTTGGCGGCCCTTCCCTTTTCCACGAAAATAAACTCTGAAGTTGTCCGAAAATTTCACCCCCTCCATATAAAGAAAAAAGATCTGCCCCTCAGCACCCCTTTCTTCAGCACCCCTTTCTTCAGCACCCCTTTCCTCAGCACCCCTTTCCTCAGCACCCCTTTCCTCCGCCACTGCATTGATATGATTAAATTTATAAAATTTAAATTAATACTAAATTGTGTTTTCATTATTTTGTGTGTTTATTTATTTTTTAAAAAAAAATGTCATTTCTTTTGACAGTTTGGAGGGAAGGAAACAGGAGAAATTACTCTGGACCACATCAACCCAGACGACTTCTCTGCGGTGCTGGACTTCGTTTACACTGGCGTGGTCAATATAACCCCCAAGACAGTTCAAAGCCTGCTGGTCGCGGCCAACTACCTCCAGATCAGTTTTCTAATTCAAGAATGCCAGCACTTCATGGAAGCAAAATTAGATTATGACAATATCTTCGACGTGCTCAGGTTTGCAGCCGATTTTTCTCTGGTCAGTTTAAAACAGAAATGTCACATTTTCATCCAGAAAAACCTGGAGACCGTGTCGAAAACAAAGACCTTCCTCCAAGCAGACCCAAGTTTAATCAAAGACGTCCTCGACGATGATAATCTTGCCGTCGAGCGATGCCTTGCACCGGAAGCGGAAGCCGTCGTTTTAAGATCTGTTCTGGCGTACTTGTCGCAGGGCTCAATCTCGGATGACGTCATCGAGATGCTCCTTTCGACTGTGAGGTTTCCTGACATTGCACAGAAGGAAGTGGAAAAAATCGTGCTGGATTTCCCAACGCTGATAGACAATAAGCAGCTGATGCGGAGCATGACGCTCTCCGTGAAGTTTTCCGAAATAAAGAACTCGAAGGCAGGGGATAACAACATGAACATTTTCCCGGAGAGCTGGAGAAAACCACGAAAGATGTCGTATCATATGCTGGTGATGCGGCGGCGCCGGTACGGTGTGCCCTTATTCACATCGCGCCTCTACCCCGGGGGCTGCCCAGAATCGGACAAAGAAATCGCCAGCGTTAGCATCTGGGTAAAGCCCCCAGGCCCGAACTCTCCTGCGGTACTGGGTGGTCTAGTGGTTAGGTACCGAGCTGACGGCACAAGCTGTGATGATCATGCCTATGCCAGGGGAACCTTCCGGGACGAATGGGATCACTTTCTGTTAGAGCTGAGCCCTGAAGAATTCATCATTGAGGTTCAAATACGTTCAACGGATAGCATAGTTAGCAGTATTGGATTTAAAATGTCCAGCGGCCGCTCGTTCGGACCTTACGGGGGCATGCATGGGAATGAAAATATTGAGCACGCACCTACGCCAAAAAAGTCATACCTGAATGCCATTTTGTGTGACGCTGTAAACACACCTTCACTTACTGGTGTTATAAATCTTGCTCTGCGCTGGATCACATTCTGAGATAATTACCTCCTGAGATGATGACTTACTTAGATAATGACCTACTGAGACAATAGCTTACTGAGATAATGACCTACTGAGACAATGGCTTACTGAAATAATGACCTACTGAGATAATGACCTACTGAGAAAATGACCTTCTGATATAATGACCTACTGAGATGATGAACTACTGAGATGATGACCTACTGAGATGATGACCTACTGATATGACGACCCACTGAGATGATGACTTACTGAGATATGACATACTGAGATATGACATACTGAGATAATGACCTACTGAGATAATGACCTCCTTAGATGCTGACCTACTGAAATTATGACCTACAGAGCTATCTCTTAGTCCAAGCACCGACAATCATACTGACCAGTGTTGCCAATTCAAATAAACAAATATATTTATGTTATGTATGCATTTGACTGTGGGTAATGTGACCACGAGGCCTGAGCTTATTTATAAAGCTATTTTACTGTGCAGCCGTCTGATCAGGACGGAATAGGTCTTGATCATGATCCTACAAGTTTATAACAAGCACCAGCAACAAAAACATAAACAAACAAACAAGAATTGAGTTATTTGCTCTCTGTTCCACTTTAATTAATTTCGGTACATTTTTACGGACATAATCAAGATCTTATCGGCCAAGTCATTTGAGGCCACATATTGTTAAGGATATTATACAGCTCTTATTGACTATACGGCCAAGTCATTTGAGGCCACATTTTTAAGGGCATTATACAGTTCTTATTGACTATACGGCCAAGTAATTTAAGTCCACGTATTTTAAGGACATTATACAGATCTTATAGCCAATACGACCAAGTCATTTAACGCCACATTCTTTACGGACACCATAAAGTTCTTACTGATCTTTTAAGGCCACGTGTTTATGTCTCATAAAGATCTTATTGACAATACTACAGCCAAGTCATTTAAGGTCACATTTTTATTGGCTTCATAAAAATCTTACGGATCTTTTAAGGCCACGTGTTTATGTCTCATAAAGATCTTATTGACAATAGTACGGCCAAGTCATTTTATGCCACATTTTCACCTGCAGTCCTTAAAATTAATGAGAAAATTGTAGGATTATTTGAACTGTGTTTTATTTCTGTATAATTATGGATCATAATCAGAATGAACGTAATATAACCGGCTCTACGAGCTGCAAAATAAAATAGACTGACATGAACTCTTGGACGTAATCACTCTTACAGTTATTGACAAAATAGAAGACGCTCAAATGACGTGACATCAGTTGCCTTAAACACTGTCGGCTAATTATCTTTAAGTTATTTTATATATGTGTTTTGTATTTTCTTCCAATAGTTCCTTATGGTCACCAAGACTTTGAGCACGGGTACCAGTAGTCATTTAATTCTAATGAGACATTCTTGTGTGATATACAATCTGTCGACCACCATATTTTTTTTATGTCATGTCATGTCATCCGAGGACACGTCACTTTTAAACGTTTGCCCTAAATGTCTTCTATTTTAATCCAATGTGAATACAACACGCAGCAAACCAACAAGCCCAAAGTTCTAGGCATCAACCCCAACATGGCAAGCTGACAGAGGAGCTGGCCTTAGCCCCACCGTGCGTGCTGTTGTGTTTTGGACAGCAGTTACACCCAGAGCTGTCGCGTGACCTCTTGGAGGCCCTGCCGCTGCTTTGCTGTTTCGGTGCTCCCCGCATTTAAAGAATGGGATTTTCGTGTTATTTTCCCACAAAGTTTGAGGCATGGATTTCATCCGGCTTTGGTTGGTTGTCTTGAGAAGCGAAACCAAAGATCGTTTGCAGCACAGACCCATAGTCGGCACCCACTGCCGTCTCTATGTTACCACTTTTCCAATATAGTGTTTACCGCTGCAGGGGTTAAGAGAGACTTAAGCAATATTTAAATCTTGCTGTCAAGCTTAGATAATTTTTAGAAACTTTATATTTAACAACGGGTTTTATATACATATATTTCTTACCAAAATAAACGTGTATTGTTGAAGTTTGTTTTTTGTTCTAATTTACAATTCAATTTTTTTTCTTTTCTTTTCGGTAAGCACTAATTTATGTTCTTAAATGCCGTGATCTATTCAAGAGGGCTAGAGCACACGGGTTTTGTGCCCAGTCCGTTAATTTTTTTTTTCGTTAACAAATCGACAAGATACCAAACGAAATCATAAAGAAATCCTGTTAATAGCCGACAGTAAGTTCCCACTCGTTGTTTGCTGTGTACACGTTCTGATATGCAGTACAGGTCATGGGAAAATCCGATGTGAAGCTCGCAATATTTTGCCTGAATTTCAGACATTATCTGTAAAAAATAACACCCAGGCATATTCAAACGTTGGCATCTATGGCTGGCCTCGGGGGAACGGTTCCAGGTTGAAATCATGTTCGGGGAGTGGGGGCCTTTTAATCAATCAAAATTTAAATTATGTAGATTCTAGATTGATTAAATGTTTCAATTTGTGTAGTGGCGTGAGTTGCGAGCCAGTGCAAACAACATAGTTTAGAGTCTCATACCATTTGTAAACTAAGATCTTATTCAATGGTTGAAATCAAACCATTTATCAACTAACTTGCTATTCAAGGGTAACTCTGTGTGCACGCCTTTCAATTTAACACTACACTGACCTCCCCCCCCCCCCCCCCCCCCCCCCCCCCCCCCCCCCCCCCCCCCCCCCCCATTCAATGGTTGAAATCAAACCATTTATCAACTTACTTGCTATTCAAGGGTAACTCTGTGTGCACCCCTTTCAATTTAACCCTCCCCTGACCCCCCCCCCCCCCCCCCCCACCCTTAACCGGCCACTCTGCGACGCTGCAGGGCTAAATATAGGGCAATATTGTGAACCCAACAACCAATGGAGTGTTATTTACGCTGATGTGGAGTTCCCTGTCTCTGCCTACACTAGACCCCTGTATCGGTCATCATTTTTTCCCCACACTTCATCAAATGGAGATTTGAACTTGTACTTGCCAGCATGAGAGTATTTGAGAGCACCTTTGACATCGCTTCCCCTGTACAGCTGTAATAGTAAAATAAATTGCAACAATCTTTCAATTCGATCTTTCTACATACGGAGCTATTGTTTAAAATTGCAAATATAAAACAATGCATCGTATAGGGATGTGGGACTTGAGAATTTTATTAACATTCAGGGGCGTATCGAAATGTGTTGTTGCGTACGTAAATGGGAGGAGGGGGGGGGGGCTATCATCCCGTGGATGATTTTATGAATGTTTATTGAAAAATGGGGCGGGAGTGGGGATTCGATACCTTCATTTTGTCCCAGGCAACACAAGATACGCCTAAGAATAAAGTAGGGAATTAGATAAATAATTAACCCTCATCGGTAAACACATATCAAGGGACTTGGGGGGGGGGGGGGGGAAAAGATTATGTCATTTTTAGATGCAGGAGAATATCTTTCAATCAAATGATATTAAAGTGGTAAAAAAGAGGCGCTTCATTTAATTTAAAATAAAACTCTATGCTCTAACTTCTAACATAGAAGAAAATAGAGTTCAATGGAGTTGACACACCGTGGGTAAATTTACATAAGTGTATCCATGCCTCCAATAAACATCTCACAACCAATTATTTTACACACGTGAACGTGCAATCTTAAAAATAGAGCCATTTTTTTTATCTTTAGAGTTCACGGGCGTGCAAAAAAATGAGGTAAGATTTTCTTTCAAAATAATGAAAATATATATTTTTTTTCTGTTGTGTTCTTTGAAAATTTTCGAAAGTAATAATATTTCTTAACAACAAAAAAAAAACAAAAAAAAAACGAACACTCAAAGCTGTTACAGACGTGTAACGTGTTACGCACTGGCTGCTATTGTGAGAAATTAATATATTGTTTTAAGTTATGGTTCGTTCAAACAGTGCACAACAAATGACGATACCATAGAGAAATACAATAGTAAGGATACGACACCCAAAAACAGTTGCTAATTACAATTAATAAGATTTATTTAAGCATTAATATAATTACAAAGCATCAACTTACAGAGTATGAGAATGTCTTGTACCAGTACACAGTTAGTACAATGTGCCACAAAAATAAGGTACAATGATGAATGCGAATAAACACATATGAGTACACAAAGAAATACACGTCTCGTGAAGTTAAAAATATCTAGCTGAATCTCCGTGAATCTCTGAATCCCCTCATTTATATAGTGGATCTACCGGCGCGCCCAGAAACGCCTTTGACATTGTTTACGTTTCTCGTCAAATCGAGAACGTTCCACAAGATCCTAGGAGACAAACTAATCATGTTTAATTGGTAGTCGGCAGTAAACACGACAGATCAAAAGAACTAGCCCCTACCATCTACGAACGTAGCGTCAGCTAGGAATCTAATTTGGGGTCAAGCAAAGTCCACGGCACGGGAAAAGTGTCCTACATAACAAACGGCTTAAGAGATTCTTCTATAGATAAAAGTATTCTGTATATTACGATTTTCAGATAATGTAGTAGCTAAGCGAGGATTCTGTTACATTTTTAATGACGATACAGTATGTCAAGTTCAGGTAATGTAAAAGATTTTAAAATGGTATGTAGATCTCTTGTTGTAAATTTAAACAATTTTTAAAGAAAACACATTGTAGTCCAGGGGAGCGAAAAGGGCTAGGGCAGTGGCGTATCTAGGGGGTGCGTGGGGTGCCGACCGCACCGGGTGACACCACTCCTGGGCTAGGGTAAGCCTACATTAAATAGATGATAAATACATTAAGTATCGCAAAACGCCTACTATTATTAAACCGGTAGCATCGGGTCATATATTCTAGTTATATATCATACAATGGCATTAAGACGTCACTCTATAATGAATATCAGAGTGCCGGTCGACAGACAGAATGACAGTCTGACTTCTGGTAGACCACGGAAAGTTTCAATCACTTTCGACAGAAATTAAAAAAAAATAATAAAACGAAAGTTAACTTTTCTGTTTCGGCCGAAATCGAAATTACACCGAATGTG